AAAAATTTACCTCTACTTACGAACTCGCCTCGACTTACGAACCGGATCCGCGGCCATTTTTTGCCCGTTCCACGTGGTATGCGGTCATTTTCTGCCCGTTCCATGTGGTCCACAGCCATTTTTCCGCCCCTGACACGTGGTCTGTGGCCATTTGTCCGCCCTGCTGCGTGGTCCGCGGACGCCAGAACGGATTAACGGTAATTACATTGAAAAATTTACTTCGACTTGCGACCAACTCGACTTGCGATCAGAGTCACGGAACTGATTAAGTTTGTAAATAGAGGTACCACTGTATATATTTTTGAAAGCTTTCTTACTTTACAGCATTTTTTCACACCTGCCTAAAACTTTTGCACAGTACTGTATGCGCATAGGCAAATACATTATAGCAGAGTTAAGCAGCTTGATAGCTATATCTACTCTCTAACATGTGGACAAGTATACTATTTCTAATAATTATAGCAGAGAAATACTGAAAGATAGAGACTGGGGATCTAAATCTAAAATGCAAAAAAACAAACAAACCCTCAAGCTAATCAAGAATATAAGAACACTGTTGTATAAAATAGATACGGCAGAAATTAAATTGAGGATCAATTATTAAATTACTGCAGAACTACATACAATTCAGGATGTAAAAATGGTAATAAAACCATCATAGCCATTGGTCGCAAAACCCAACTTGGTATGCATCATACTTAGGACTAAATTTGGTGTGAAACACTGAAAGTGGGAGAAATAAACCTACCTTATACCATGTATAGGGCCAGGATTTTTATTCAACAAACACTTTTCAGGGTGTTAACCCTTCTTTTTGAATGAACAAGATAAATGAATCATTTTATTCATAAGAACAACAAAATAATTTAACAAAAGAAAATGGGTAACTTTAGTCTTGGGAAGAACATCAAAATACACTGGAGATGCTGACCTAGTGCTAGATCAGGATATATGATCTTGGAGACTAAGTGATTCCTGAATCAGTCTTTGATCTGAACTAAAAGCCAAAAATGAACTAAGGCCCCAAACTTAAAAATAGAAAACTAACACCCATGCCTAAAAGCAATTATAGAACTCAAAGGAAAGTATAGACACAATTTTAAAAGTAGAATTAATGGCTTTCAGGATGGCTCAAAATGAATAATAACAAAAGAATCAGTAGTATATTCTGAAAGTAAGAAGGGAAAATTCATTCTTTTAAACCCTGAACAAAGTTATGGAGTAATCTTAGTAGAAAAATACAACACACGACTACACTACCAGTTTGAGCTCTCAGATAACATTGCTCCCAGCCTTGTGGTTATCAGATCTGTGTGAAAAATTTCACCTTGGATATGATCAAAAGGTAATGAGCAAGAATAGGGGGAAAAGATGCCCTGCAAAGTCAATAGTATAAACTTTGGAATAGTAAATGTTCACTTCCTCAATTTTACTGAATTGCTGATAACATTTCTAAATTTACTAATTCATGTTCCATTCCAATTAGATGGAAAAATAAGATGTTGAAAGGATAAATATTATTTTCCAAAACAAATTAAGTACTTACAGCTTGCAAAAATCTAACAGACAGCAGAACACTGCTGTCTCCGCCCCATGATTGCCAATGTTCATATTCTCCTTCCTCTAGCAAGTATTGCCGGCCTTTATATTGCTCCTTGTCATAAGCGACCCATCTACAATAATTACAACACACAAAGACAAATTATGAATTTCTTTAACAAAAGTTAGAGAATGAATATTAGAAATACATTGATGGTCATTAAAGAATAGCCTCTGGCACTCCTCCTCTTTGGCATAATTTTAGTAGCTTCAGTTTCAAGAGGCAAAACACATGATTCTCTATAACCTTTGTCCTGTCCTTAATCCAAGCAATTCAGAGTGACCTACAGAAATCTATCCTATTTGAACTTCACAGCAGTATTATGAGATATGTTGGAAATAACCACAATTTACCTGTTGACAAATCAATTCTATCTTTGGCAAAGTAAGTCTGGGGCCAGGGGCAGTTGACTAAATTTCTGAGTAAGAACAACTCCCCTTGAGGTTAAATTTGTGTCTTTTGAATTTTCTCTGGGAACAGAGTACCTATATACTTCCACTTATGGGATTCAGGGGAAATTCTCTGAAATATAAAATTGTTACATATCTAATTTAGGAGCTACCACTGCTGACAGTTTACTGGACTGTGAGCACTTAAGCTTCACATATTTGGTTTTACATACATTTGGGCTTGGATTCTAGAAGGCAGTCTATATGCTGAATTCTTTTCAATGACTTGTGGATATTATATATTTAAACTTTGGAACAGGTAATTAAAAAGTGGTTTAGCTCCATTTCTTGACTGTCTTTCTATAAATCATTAAATTTTACTCCTATAGTCATAGTTTATATCCAAATTTTTTCTTGTATGTGTAAAATAAATTCATTAACACAGAAGGATATTAATACATGTTTGAGCTATTTTCAACTAATTTTTCAAAATAGCAAAAAACAGCTCAAAGGTTTGCTATGTACCTGACACATCTTTATTAAAAGATGCTTTAGAATGGTTTCTGGCTATGTACATATATATGCACATATATTCATCAGCAACAAATGAGCAAGAAAATAATCAAGGAAAACTGCATGCAAGATAGAATCAGTTTATAGTATTTGGTTATCAAGCTGGCTTAACAGCAGATATGTGCATGTTGGCTATAACCAAAAAGAACAGTTAACATGTTCTTCAGCAACTTAATGAGACATATAAACAAGCTAGAAAGTGAAGCAGTTAGCAATCTAAAGGAAACTATGGGTTCATATGTTCTGTTAAGCAGCTAACTTAACTACAGACAATCTGCTAATCTTAGTCATTTGTGGTTAGAACAGGGAATGTATGCAGGCACATTCCCAGTTCAGGCAGCTTTATGGCTTAGAGTGACATACATAAATGACTCCCATTACACTCCACAAAATAGGAATAAACTGAGGGAGAATAAACCAAGGAATGGGTAGACTAATTTATAGTTGTATCTGACATCATGTTATCTTTGGCCACGATCCTATATTTTGTCTTCCTATTCTCAAGCCAGACAAGATACAGTAAACATATTATTAGTACAAAATACCCAGTTTTAAAAATCCTCTAGCAAAGCCCCTTTCTACATTCTGCAAGCACTTGAGATTTCTTTGATAAGAACTAAAGAGTTGGTCTTTTCAATGATGGCACTTGCATCTAGCTTTTTCACTGATAACTATCACCTAATACATTTACAAAAGTTTTTGATTTGCAAGTTAAGATACTTATAGTTGATTTGTGTGGGCTTTTATCTGTTTTAATGAAATACTGTTCTATTTTACTGATTTAGTTTCTAGTGGACCCTATTATTTTAATATTCTTAATAGCCTGTTAATATTAACACTTCATCTTTTCAGTTTGGGGTGATGAGTTTTGGATTCTGCATTGACTTTGAAAGTCCACACATAAATAAATTACAGGAAGAACTTCTGAACTTGTTTTAAATCCAGGAAACTCTTGAAATGAAATTTAAGAATGGAAACAAAATCATACTTACATTCCACCAATGACACGTATTGATCCAATTCCCTGGAAATCACCAGCATTTTCAAAAAGTATTGGAATGCAATCAATATTTTCAGAAAGTTTTTTACACCATCCTCCAAAGTGTGGTCTTTCATATATTATCATCTGCAGAGGATGGGAAAGTTGGCCCTTTTAAATACATTTCTAATCCTATGTTTATTTGGTAGACTGAAGGAAGGTTCTGATTGTAAAAGGTGAAAGATTTATACGATCTGAAGAGAAACTAGAGTATTGAATTGTAAAGTCTCTCTGATCAACAGGTTCAACTGAGTGCTCTATTTTACATCTATAATTTCAATCAGTGTTCCTTAAGAGACATTCCCCTTGGAAGAAGGCAAACAAGAAGATTTTTGTTGGAATACTTCCCTCTGCAGCCCTGTCCCCACC